TATTATGTTGGCAGTTGCTGGGATTCAAATGGTTTCCCTGTGCTCCCATTTCAATGCTGGCATATTAGACATTCAGTGTCTTTTGAACCACTGGCTGGAGATGAAAGGCCAGATTCACTGATGCAATCTTGACCCTTTGTGCTGCTCAGGCAGTACAAAGAAGCTGCAAAGCAACTGGATCTCTTTTGGTTTCTGTGTTACCACACCCTGGCAGCCCTCCATGTATGAGATGAGAAGGTGATGTGGCCAGAGCATGCTACTTCTTGGCTACTCCCAGCTCTCAGATGGCCCAGAACTGACTCCAGAATCTAGAAGCCATAATTGGTTCCATTGCAGACACCCTCTTATCTTTGCTTGACAGAAGCTGAGCACAGTTGAAACTCTGCACCAATTATTTCATTCTGTTGGGAAGCTGAGGTTCTGTTATTTCTGGTGGGATAAGCGTTGCACTTGTTTATCTCAATTTGCTAGAGAGAAAGCAGTTGCTAAAATTGAATGGTAATAGAAGTGTGTGTGGGATGGTAAAATGGTAATCATCACAACGTGATTTCTGGGGAAATATTTAGCATCTTGCTAGGGCTGGAAACAAATGCTGCAGTGCTGAGTATCCCAGACTTTGAGTACTCTAAAGTCATGGTTCTCAGTCATGGTCACAGGTTGGATCATATTTTAATAGAGATACTGTCCCAAGAACTATGTTAATTACAGTCACCTCTTGCCCTTCATGTTTTTTCCCATTCTCACCTGGTCTGTTCCACTATATCTCTCTGGCACAGTTGCCAACTTTCTTGTGGTAAATAAACACTCCAACTTTCACAATAAGCCAAAAATCAAACTAATCCCATTTCAAAACAAGGCCAAAACAAGCTAATCCCTAAGAACCCCAACACTCTATGTGACTAGATTCCCCCCAGCGTTCAGTCTGGGGACTGTGGTGGGCCCACTGTGCACCCCTGACTCTCTCCCCCCACCCACCCTTGCCCCTGATTGTCCCCCTTTACCCCTGGTTGCTGGGAGCCGATTTAAAAAAAAGAAGCAACAAGCTACAAGCCAAAAACTAGCCAACAAGCAACTCACAAGCCAATTAAACCAAAAACAAGCCCAATTTCTGCCTTTTTTCTTTTTCTTTTTCTTTGCTTTTTTTTCCCCACAGGGCTGGCATGTCTGCTCTCTGGTTCACTGTAAATATTTCTCTGCCACCTGGTCCACTTCTCTTTTCCCTATACATACTTCCCTGATGCTTGGGTCTTCTCTCTCATACACAAGTTGCCTAGCTGCCTGGTTCCCTTATCCCATTGGCTCCTCTTATTCTAACAGCACCAATCCTGCTAGTGCAGAGGTTGTCAAACTAAGGCCTGCGGGCCACATCCAGCCCGTGGGACCGTCCTGCCTGGCCCTTGAACTCCCGGCCGGGGAGGCTAGCCCCCCGGCTCCTCTCCTGCTGTCATCCCTCCCCCGCAGCCTCAGCTCACCATGCCGCCAGCGTGCTGGGCGGCGGGGCTGCGAGCTCCTGCTGGGCAGTGTGGGGGCAGGGCTGCCAGACATGCTGCTCTGAGTGGCATGGTAAGGGGGTGGGGAGCGGGGGGGTTGGATAAGGGCAGGGGGTCCCAGGGGAAGTCTAGGGAGCAGGGGGCGGTTGGATGGGGCCAAGGTTCTGGTTAGGGGCAGGGGGTCCCGGGAGGGAGCAGTCAGGGGACAAGGAGCAGGGGGGGGGTTGAATGGTGGAGGGTTCTGAGGAGGGCAGTCAGGGGACAGGAAGTAGGAGGGGGTGGAGAGGGGGAGAGGGAGGGGGACAGGCTGTTTGGGGAGGCACAGCCTTCCCTACCCGGCCCTCCATACAGTTTTGGAACCCCGATGTGGCCAAAAAGTTTGCCCACCCCTGTGCTAGTGACTCCAGTTTTTGAGGCTGTCTCCTGTTCCCTTTTCTCTTTCTATTCAATAGCAACAGCCCCCTAGTGGATGTAGTTAGCCTGGTTTCTTTTCCTTAATCCTTCTATCTAGCCTCGAAGCTCTTCATTGCAAAGAAGAGCTTGGACATTTGTAAAAGTGGCTGGAAGCAGGGAGGAAGCGCCAGCACCATGTGATTTGGCCTTTCTGCAGGCTACAGTCCTACAAATTCTGCTATACAGAACTTGTTAAAAGTCCAGATGGTTTTGAGATATCTGACCCTAAAATATGGTTCTAATTTGTACAAATGGAAATGTTGTGTTTTATATTTTTTTCATCGATTCTGTATCAGAATTGCACAGTTTACAAATAAAAAGATGGGGTTTCTGTCAGCCCTGCAACTTAACCTGGGATCATGTACTAGTTCAGGGTTATGTAACATGACCAGTAATAAAGATTCTGCACACCAAATTTTACCCTTAGTTACATATGTACAACTGTATTTCTTTCAGTGAGGTTGCACAAGTGTAACCAAGGGCAAAATTTTAAGACAATGATATTCCACAAGTGGCCCTGTAATTGAAATTTAGTTAACAATAGCACTGTTAGTTCATGAGCCAGAAAATAATCCTGTTCACTCTCCTACAGCTGTGCTGATGGTAATGAAAAAGTTACTCTTTGTATGTAAAGTAACTAGATACAATCTTGAGTACAGATAAAAAGCAGATCTGCTGATTAAACGGGTGCCATTTTTTACAGGGTTATTTTTCAAAGTGGAGCCATGCTTTAATTACTGTATCTCAAAGATGTCACGAGGTCCTCAGACTAGCAATGCTTTTTTGACACCGAACCAGGACTTAATATAGCAAATTCTGGGCCTTTAAATATAACTTCAGATCTCTGGAGTGGTGCTCTTGAGTGACTCTGAGTCTGTAAATAAAACCTTGGTCTCCCACATGGTAGCACAGGGTACTCTCACTAAGCCAACCCTTTAAACTGTTTTATTTAGTAGTTTTCCAATACTCTTATCATTACCTCTAGATCTGAGATCTGTCATTTAAATCAGCTTCTATACCAGATGACTGGACGATAGCTAATGTGACTCCAATTTTTAAAAAGGGGCTCCAGAGGTGATCCCAGCAATTACAGGCCAATAAGCCTGACTTCAGTACTGGGCAAACTGGTTGAAAGTATAGTAAAGAACAAAATCATCAGACACATAGATTAATATAATTTGTTGGGGAAGAGTCAACATGGTTTTTGTAAAGGGAAATCATGCCTCAGCAATCTACTAGAATTCTTTGAGGGGGTCAACAAGCATATGGACAAGGGGAAATCCAGTGGATATAGTATACTTAGATTTTCAGAAAGCCTTTGACAAGGTCCCTCACCAGAGGCTCTTAAGCAAAGTAAGCTGTCATGGGATAAGAGGGAAGGTACTCTCATGGATCGGTAATTGGTTAAAAGATAGGAAACAAAGGGTAGGAATAAATGGTCAGATTTCAGAATGGAAAGGGGTAAACAGGGGTTTACCCAGGGGTCTGTACTGGGACTAGTCCTATTTAACAGATTCATAAATGATCTGGAAATAAGGTAAATAGTGAGGTGGGAAAATTTGCAGATGATACAAAACTACTCAAGATAGTTAAGTCCCAGGCACACTGCGAAGAGCTACAAAAGGATCTCACAAAACTGGGTGACTGGGCAAGAAAATGGCAGATGAAATTCAATGTTGATAAATGCAAAGTAATGCACATTGGAAAACATAATCTCAGTTATACATACAAAATGACGGGGTCTAAATTAGCTGTTACCACTCAAGAAAGAGCTCTTGAAGTCATTGTGGATAGTTCCCTGAAAACATCCACTCAATGTGCAGTGGCAGTCAAAAAAGCTAACAAAATGTTGGGAGTCATTAAGAAAGGGATAGATAATAAGACAGAAAATATCATATTGCCTCTATATAAATCCACGGCATGCCAACATCTTGAATACTGCGTGCGGATTTGATCACCCCATCTCAAAAAAGATATATTGGAATTGGAAAAGGTTCAGAAAAGGGCAACAAAAAAGGTATGGAACAGCTTCCATATGAGGAAAGATTAATAAGACTGGGACTTTTCAGCTTGGGGGGGGGAGATATGATAGAGGTCTATAAAATCATGACTTGTATGGAGAAAGTAAATAAGGAAGTGTTATTTACTCCTCATAACACGGGAACTAGGGGGTCACCAAATAAAATTAATAGACAGCAGGTTTAAAACAAACAAAAGGAAGTATTTTTTCACACAACGCACAGTCAACCCGTGGAACTCCTTGCCATAGGATGTTGTGAAGGCCAAGACTATAACAGGGTTCAAAAAAGAACTAGATAAGTTCATGAAGAATAGGTCCATCAATGGCTATAAGCCAGTATGGGCAGGGATGGTGTCCCTAGCCTCTGTTTGCCAGAAGCTGGGAATGGGTGATGGGATGGATCACTTGATGATTTCCTGTTCTGTTCATTCCCTCTTGGGCACCTGACATTGGCCATTGTCGGAAGACAGTACTGGGCTAGATGGACCTTTGGTCTGATCCAATATGGCTGTTCTTATGTTCTTAACTTTAAGAAATGTGATTCCTAAAATTACAGTGAATATATTTTATAGGTTTCAGAGTAGCAGCCGTGTTAGTCTGTATCCGCAAAAAGAACAGGAGTACTTGTGGCACCTTAGAGACTAACAAATTTATTAGAGCATAAGCTTTCGTGGGCTACAACCCACTTCTTCGGATGCATATTGAGTGAAACATATCGAGGAGATATATATACACACATACAGAGAGCATGAAAGTTTTTTTTCTCTTACTTAATTGGCCTCTCAGAGTTGGTAAAACAACTCCCACCTGTTCATGCTCTCTGTATGTGTGTATATATATCTCCTCGATATGTTTCACTCAATATGCATCCGAAGAAGTGGGTTGTAGCCCACGAAAGCTTATGCTCTAATAAATTTGTTAGTCCCTAAGGTGCCACAAGTACTCCTGTTCTTTTTGCGAATATATTTTATGTAAACTTAATGAAAAAACATGTAGTTTGTTATTTCAGTTAATTTGTTATGTTTTATTTCCCTCAGACAAACGTGTTGATGACTGGTTCTTGATGCAATCTCCATTTCCAACACTGACTATAAGCACTCTTTACCTCCTCACTGTCTGGCTGGGTCCCAAGTGGATGAGGAGAAGAGAACCCTTCCAATTGCGCTTCTTGCTGGTTAGCTACAACTTTGGAATGGTTCTACTTAACTTCTATATTTTCAAAGAGGTTGGTATTGTATTTTTAAACTTTTGAATTGTGTTAGAATTCACAACTTTGACAGTGTTAGATAAATTGTATAATTTTTATATTCTCTGGATAATTTTACTGCCTGTTTTGGAAGCTGAATACATTGATTGGATTTTTAGAGCTCTCTTGGTAATGGTGTTGTTGAAAATGGTATATATCATGAGTTTGTGAATCAGCATACTGCAAAAGCATATATGTAGGAGTCATGTAGAATAGCTTGACTTATTAATACTTTGTTTAACACTGATGAGAACAAAAGAGGTAAATCATATTTTCTTTTAGTTAAGGGCAGCGAGGCAAAATCTTACAATAGAATTCCTACTCAGTTCATGGAGTTGTCTATTGAAAAACATGAGATTTCACAAACATGGATTTATGATAGCCAAGTTACTTGGTCTTGCTGCCTGCTACACTTCACCTTTCTTAGGCCTTGTCTACCTGGGTAAATTGACCAGCATGGCTAAAACAGAGTATGTTACCCCTCAATAGCTATTCTGGAATAGCTCCCGTGTGGACACTTTATTCCAGAATAGAGTATTCCTAAGGGGAGTTATTAAGAAATAGCTATCGCAGAATATTTTATTCCGCTACAGTTATGATAGTGAATTTCCTTGTGTGGGCAAGTCCTTAATGGGATCATGTTCAGTGACCTAAGCTTGAATTATCTTGCATACAACTTTATAAGGTGAGAAATGTTCACCTGAATGCTCTGATTACTAGAACATCCCTTACTGCTTTTTAGTGCAATTCATATCAGTTCAGCAAACCTTTTGCTGATTTAAAATTTGTGACTATCTTCATTCATTTGCTGAAAATCTTTCTTCAGATTAACTCCTTGATGGAAGAATTTAGATTTTGCTAGCACAAGATCTGTTGCCAGGAGCCTGGAATTAAACAAGTGAACTGTGCAGTTGAAACTAACAGCTTTTAGGAACTGGACTCTTAAAAATCTATTTTTATGTGTTCACCATTCAAGTGGTATTGTTCCCGACAATTTATTTTTTTCATATAGACCTAGGGCTTCTTTTACAGCATTGTTGGGCTATGTGGAAGCTGCTTGTGTCAAGACATATTTCAGTAGAATGAATTTTAACCATGACTCCTCAGTGAAAGTCCTCTCCCTATTAAATTATTCAGAACATACTGGACCACATTCCTCTCCTATTTACACCACCCACTAAAGACAATAGGATTACAAAGAATATATGTTATAGCAGAATTTGACTCAGTGTGTGTCTCATCTAATTGCAAAGAATAAACAGTGCAGTGTCAGCACTACATTTGATTTCTTCAACTAAAGGTGGGAAAGGTGAAGGCAACTCCAAGGTCCTCTCTGAAGACTTGTAATACAGATAGTGTATGCTGGAGAGGGGGAAAGAGAGATGGTTGATCTAAAAATAATATATTCTGTAGTTGATGTCACATTACATCACTTTTTCAAGTAGATGGCCATCTTCAGCACTAAGTTTAGAAATGTTAGTGCTAATTAAAAACTTAATGTCAGTTTATTCATGATCACAAGCACTGCTTATCTTGTGAACTTTGCATTGAAGAACACTGGTGCAGAAGCTGCAAATCAAAATCCTCAAGACTCTTCTCCATTCTTTTAATGAATAGCGAGACCAATTTCAGGATACTCTCAATGTGTTACTCTGCTCCTGTGGTAGAATCTTTAAAGTTATCAGAGTGCTATTGGAAATCCCCCACTGTATCAAGTTCAGCTTCAAAAAAAATGGTTCCACTACCTACTGCTATCATTGAAACATCTCTGGTGTGTTTATCTAATGTTAAGCTATCACTAGTAACTGGTACAAGCTCAGAGAGCGATAAAGTAACACTGGAGGATGAAGTAAAATGTAGCCGTTTAACCCAGGTTTTAATTGTCGGTATAGTGAACAGTCTGATAGCCCTGGAAGATTAAAAAATGAACTATATTTCTCCATGTTTGCAACACTTTTTTGTTACAAATTTGTGTCTGAGCCTTGACATTTTGTTTTCTTATTGCCTGACATGGGTAAGCAGAGTGACATTCTGCTCAAATAAGTTTCTGGGGATCTCATACTAGTTTATATTGGTCCATTAGTTTTAAATCCAGGTCACTCCTAGCATGGCAGATGCAGTTGCACAGCAATAGGTATACTCAGGTGACTACTCAAGATTTGTCTACTACTGGGAATTTCAAATAGCCCCAGAAAGACTGGATTCACATAGGAAATGAATTAGATTTATGGATTCTTAACATATCAAATTCTAATATATATTAACTGTTGATACTCTGAGTTCTTTTATTTTGCAAGAAATAAATTGGGATACTGTGTGTAGTAAGCTTTTAACTTTGTTACTCTAGTTTAAGATCATTATCCCAAGTATTCAGTATGTGCTAAGCAGGACTAAATGAAAGGCTTGTAGTATCAAAATGCGTGTTTTATTGATCTTAGAGACAGATCAGAGAAGAGCATTTGAAATAAACATTTGCACCTTAAGTTTTCAGAGATGCATGGTTTATAGCCATGCAGCTTAGATTTCAGACAGCACAATGTTTTAGTGATTTACTGATTCAAGGACATTTTAACTTACATTAGTAACATGATGCAAGATTCCCACTGTTGTGAATTATCACAAAGTTCACAGGCAAGCATTTCATAGTAGATGACAGAATTTCAACTATAGAGTTGAAACAAATCAAATTACCCAATAAACTCAATAGACATTAGGTACCATTTAAACTTCAAAATGCTGTCCAGGTATCCTTCCTGATGGCTAAATCCATCAACAGCCTTAGATACCTTTTGACTATGACGCTTATAGATTTTTAAGGCCAGACAGGACTATTTAGATCATCTTGTCTGACCTGTATAACACAAGCTATAGAATTTTACCCACTTACCCCTATTTTGACAATATGTGAATTCATAGGTGGGATCAGACCAGTAAGTGGGCTGGCCTTACAATGAGTTGTAAGAGGACTCAGTGGACTGTGCTGATTTAATTGTTCTCTCTCCCTATTAACTCTTTTGTGAAGGGTCGTTTTTGTCATCTCTCCCTTTTCAGCATGTATATACTGCAACTAGTGAAGCTGGATTCCTTGGGCTGCAGATTTATCAGTATCTGAATGACATGCAACTTTACATCATCTCTTTGTTAGCTACTCTGTTCTTTTTCTCCTCTTCCAGTATCTGACAGAGATGGGGACATAGAACAGTAAATTCATTGAAGATTGATCTGAATAAGATAGAAGTGACTGCTCTGTAGAGGCTGGAATAGGGGCTGCATTCTCTTCTGGAGGTCATCTATATAACCACTCTTTGCCATTATGGCTGACAGCCTAGAAGTCGGACCTGATTCATTGCTGTCTTTGGATTTGGAGACATGGCGGGGGAGGGAGGCAGCATGACACACCTTGTAAAGTTGACCAAGAGGCTGTGGCCCCCCCTTCTGATGAGAACTCATCACAGTGATTGAAACCTTTATCTCCTGCAGGCTAAATTATTGCAAAGTGCTTTATTTGGGATGACCCTTCCAGAGCACTTGGAAGCTTCTGCTGGTACAGAATGCAGCAGTTAGCCTCAAAGTGGGGTGTATATGAACACATTATACCGCTGCTTTTTACTGGTTTTGTATTTGCCTCTGTGTACAGTTCCAAGTGTTAGTTACAGTATTATAGCCCTGAATGATCTAGGGCCCAGCTATCTGAGAGATCATTTTCTCTCCCTATATCCCATCATAAAGTTACTCTTCTTGCAGGTTTCATTAAGGGATTCTGAGTCTCGGAAACATGCTCCCTCTGCTGGCAGGATCTGTGTATGAATGGCTATAGGTCACATGGAAGTGGTCGTAATTTATTCTGTTCTCTAAATATCTTGCAGACTATTCAGTTTATTTTTTTTTCTGAGTATTTTATGTTTAATTTAGGGGACCACTTGTTTTGACACCACGAGATATGAAAAAGTACATTGTTAAAACTAAATATTGACCACTTTTAAAAATAGCATCTTTGTATTGTAAATAAATATGATTTAAAATACTGCTTTTGGAGTAAATTTATAACAACACTAAAATCACTAATAAATAATTATCTTTGTATGGACTCTTTCCCCTCATATATAATTTTAATATTTTCAGCTATTTTTGGCATCCAGCGCTCGAGGATACAGCTATGTCTGCCAGACTGTGGATTATTCAGATAATATTTATGAAGTCAGGGTGAGTACCCTTTTTATGTACTGTTGTTCTGCACAGACAAGGGTGTTATTTTAAGCTTTAATTCAGCAAGTCTGAAAACCACATGTTTAGAATCAAAAAGTATTGATCAATCTTCCTTCTTCCCACCCCATGCTCTTCTGCAGTCCTCTGTCTCCTACCATGGTTAGCTTCATGTAATCTTTTGCTCACTTCTGAAAGACAGACTAATACCATATAACAACATATATTGCATAAATTTATATGAATATGCAGTTTTCAAGATATACGTTCTAAATAAAGTCAGGAAATGCAAATATTAAAATTCTCTTACCACTGTGGATTTGCTCACATACTTCTACTTTTGTATGGCTTAAAAATAGCAGTGTTAGATGTGCACGTAATCCAATTGATTGTTTCAATTGGCCAGCAATCCAATTGATTGTTTCAGGTGCCAGAGTGGACTTCAGAGATACCGCTGGGATATGATTGGGACATTGATTGACAAGGAGTTCCATAGTTTGAAGTCTATTTCCACAGTCACAGATAGGCTTGTGTCTCAGTGCCCATTTATGGAGAAAGTCGGTGCATCTGCCATCTGATGTGTGGATGTGATTCAGAGTGAATCATATTTTCTGTGGGAGTGAAAAGCCACAGGGTTCTTTGGTTGAGTCCTTGCTGAGGTGTTATTTGTTGACATCTTTCCGCCTTGCTTACCCGTAGTCTTTGGAGGAAAACCCAAATCTTTGAGCTCTTGAGCTGTAACCCACAAAAAGGTTTTCTGGATTTGAGTTGGAATGTTGGTATATTATTTAGGTCTCCATGTATTGGAAGATCCTTGTTTCTTTAAATAAGATTGTACTCCTGAATAATTCTCATGTTTCAATGACTTTGAGGTGGGTAGATATGCACTACTACAGGAAGCCATGGTTGTGTCATTGACTTCACTGTGCCTGTAATAATCTACACGATGGTGTTAAATTGAGAATGGACAAGTGATGTGTAGGAGCGGTGTATCCAGATTGGTTAGCAGTATTCTCTGTAGAGTAGACAAGGACTGGTGAAGAGAAGCATAGAGTTTCTGCATCAGCTCTCCAGGTCATTCCTGCTAGTTTCTGGATGAGATTTACACACATTTTTATTTTGTCATGAATATTTTTCAAATACTGTTGGCATGTGAAGCTTCAGTCTAATGTCACACCAAGATATTTCAGGGGTGTGGGAATGTGTCCTATCTGCTGGCTGCAGAAATCTGCATGGAGTTCCAGCTTACCTTCTGATTGTTTTAGAAAAATGCTGACACAAGGGGGAGGGATAGCTCAATGGTTTGAGCATTGGCCTGCTAAACCCAGGGTTGTGAGTTCAGTCCTTCAGGGGGCAGGGCAAAAACAGTACTTGGTCCTGCTAGTGAAGGCAGGGGGCTGGACTCAATAACCTTTCAAGGTCCCTTCCAGTTCTAGGAGATAGGATATCTCCATTAATTTAATTTAATAGTCTTAGAGAGGTTTGGTTTTAGCCTCCAGTATAAAAAATATCCTTCCATGATTTTAAGGTGACACACTGAACATCCCATATTTTCAAAAGTACTTAAATGATTCAGTGGGATTTAAGTGCTTCTGAAGGTTTTGGCCACTGTACATGAAAACGTAATTTTAACAGTCTAATCCAAAATATTGTTTATATAGTGCTGTAAATGTATATAATGTTTAATTAATAGAAAATGCCAACCAAGAACCAAATCCCTGCCCTGAACAGTTGTCTAGCTATGGGTGAAACTCAAAAAGTCCACAGCCTGTTTAAACATCCATAAAAACATGGAAATGAAGAAAAGAATCACAATTGTCGTCATCATCATCACCACCACCTTATATCAGTTGCATGGCCAATATTGCAAAGCGTGAGCAGGAATAGTGACTCTATGTACAGGATTTATAGGCCATGTTGTCAGAAATCCTTCAGCTTCACCTTCATCATTACCATGTTCTTTGCCTCCATGCAGAGCACTGCTGCAGAGCTCAGTTCTGTGAAGGACTGGATGTCCTACTACTTTTGCATGACCTCTCAATGGCTCACCTCCTGCACAATGTAATCAAAATAATTTTGTTGCATTTTGGGCCTTCTGAAACCCCTCTGAGAAAGAGAGGTCACCTGCCATAATACATAAAAGAACACAATACAGTTAATAAAAAGAAAATGGCATATGCTACAGACATTACTTATGCCCAGTGTGAGCAAGATAACATTGCTAACGGAACCTTAACTTTTTCAAACTTCATGATAAGTTCTTGATAAACTTTCAGAAAAGAAGCTTAAATGAATTCACAGATTCTAAACCATAATGCCTACGTTTCCAGTTGATCTAGCTGGAATATGGTGGGAAAAATACAAATTGAATTATACCTATTATTTTACTAAAATAGCAGTAATTAGTTGGTAATACCAAACCAATATTTTATAGACTTTGTCCAATATCAAAAGTTGATTTTCATAATAAAATATCTGATCATTCCAAATTTATGACAACTTAATGATATGCTATTTACATTTAGATATAATTATTTTTTTAAAACTTTGTGTCCTATAAAGACATAACACAATTAAATCTACACAGTTTCATAGGTTCATTTCCTCCTCCTGTAATACAAGACATTCCAAGTGTTGTTACCTAAATAGGAACTCAAATTTAATTTCCCAGACAGTTTCAATAGGTCCTATATCTGTATTAAGGACTTAATCTCATGAATCCTTTCTTTGACCAGACAGAAATCTTTAATTTAAAACAAAATATTTCCTGATACTCAATTTTCTTTAATTAAATTAGTAAAAATAACCATAGGGGTATCCAATCAGTTCTGGTTACTCTTTCACTTGAAAGTTTACCATCTGCAAACTTTTTAATCATACTTTAAATTGGTGGTATATGTTCTAATAGATATAGATTTAAAAAAACCAACTAATTTTAGATGTGAATCAAGACCGCTAATTTAATAGCCCAAAGATCTCTCTGAAGAAGAGTGTCTGTATTGGAATATATATTCTCAATGGTAATAGAATAACCAGTGGATAAAATTGTCAGGCGTATAGGAAAATTAATGGTTTGATTCTGCACTATTCAAATCAATGGGGGTTCTTCCATTGATTGGAATGGCAGCAGGATCAAACCCTAAGTGCAGTTGTGGAGCTTGTACTAGTAACCAGCACCTTCAACCCTCTAGGTGGTGCAGAGATTCAGCAGCTACCACTCCAGCCTATCAGGCGGCTTAGTAGACTAGACAGAAATCTCAGAATCAATCCTCTAGAAGAGATGAAAAGTTAACCACTTTTTCTAACAACATTTGAGTCTGTTGATTTTGAAAATGGCTGCTACCAAGTTGAATTTTGATGTTTAGACCCTCAAACCTGCAGATATATATGGCCATCAAAATTCACCAGAAATGTTTGATATACCAATGGTTTGTGCATGATCTTATCATTGAAATCAAACTGTACTTCTCAGTCTATTAAGAAGAGAAAGGAGAAGACACAAATCATGGTTTTAACACCTATTGCACCGTAATATTCAACTTTTTATAGCTTTGAGTCATCTGTATATCATAATATTAGAAATAAGTTAATCAAACACAGAAGTTATTTTCCCATAAAAAGTGAAATCATTTTCTCAATTTCTTGCATGCTTAGTATTTGTTGTATAGTATGTAATGCTTTGTAGTTTGACCAGAATTAAGATAGAAGTTCTGGCAATTTGTATTTTTTTTTTTTTTTAACAAACAAAGCAACAGTAGTTAGCTGAGGTGGTGGTTTATGACACTCATATTGGTTACAGCTGAAGATAAACTGGTAGTAATGAAACTGGTAGTAAGTCTCAACAGATCAACCCTAGATTCCTACAGTCTCTACTTGATTCTTGACAAATAACAAAGAGAAGATGGGCATGAAGTCAGTGAACAAGGATTGCATAGAATAAGGGAGGCAACAGCCATTAGAAAGAAACTACACAATGTGGTATACGGCGAGGCCATTGACAGAACTGAGTCCATCTTTCATTCAGAACAGGCAGTATCAGTTGTGTGGCACAGAAATTGCTATGCCCAATACACTGACAAAGGCAAAATCCAGAGGTTACAGAACACAAGAGTATCTGCAACTGATTTATCACATGTGGCAAGCTGTAGTTTTCCCAATAAAAACAATCAGTGTCCGTAATACAAGACAGTCCAGGTTTGTGAAACCTATGAACTGGAGATGTTGCATGTTTTGACAAGCCGTGCACCATAAACAAATACTCATCTCTGTAACTACATTCAAGATGAGTGAACAGATAATGAGGGCAGGTGTATTTGAGGACAAAATGAGTGTTCATTTAGCTGGAGTAAATGACCTCATAGCTGCTGAATCTAACTTGTTACATCCCGTTTATGAAGTTGATGATGAAGCAGAATGAGGGCACCAAAATTACTGATACAGCAATGCATTGGCTTGAAAGTGAGCTTCAGCATGCAGCCATCTGAGGTACAGCGTCATTACTGCAATCTTGTAAAGGAAACTGGCACTGAAATTCCACACTCCTACATAAGTCATCGATCATCATTTAAGGACAAACTCTAAGCTCATATTGGAGACTTATTTCAGCTTCTTTCATTGTCTGATTGGTCTCCTGCTGAGAGACAAACACTCTTAATTCCAACCAAGTATAAATACATATCCAACTCACTAATGATTCTTGCCAAGATGATAAGAAAGCTGTCCCCATTTACCATCCCCCAGGAGATATATTTCTGTCACTGGGTACATGTTGCATTTGAAATTCTAGGAGCTACTTTGTCACACCCTGGCCACAAAGGTTTCAGGGTCAGTGAGAATGATGTCTGCTTGCATTCCAGATAGCCTGCACATGTTCCTCCAGTGCTGTATGAAGACGATGGTAATAAAGAGAACTCTGAGAAACAAGAATCAGTGAAATGCAAGGTGCTTAGCTTAGCGTAGCTCAATATTTTGTATATGGTGTGAGTATTGGCAGGAAATGG